CTGCTTGACGGCGTAAAGAAGGCCTCGGCTCACATTTCTGTGACAGATATTGTCGAACTGAGAAATCATATTTTAACTTCACTTAAACGTTAAACTGAACGCTAGCTAAACACCTGACTGTTTTTATTCATAATTTTGCCATTTTACTCAATCACCCTATGATTTACTCGGTTACTTTTACTTTACCTTAAGTGTTTGCAGGTAAGTGAAGTTGGTGCTTGAAACGGATGTGAATGTGGTCGAGGCTGTTTACTTACTTAAATAAGCTTGCGTTTGATCTTGCAATGTTGACGCGTATTTTAGATTTTTGGATGCATGTGTGCTGAGTATATGCATTAACTAGTGATTAACACATTCCACAAATAAGCAATATCCTAAATTGGAGGAAAAAGTGTAGTAAATTTATCACAGACTACCTCATTTTATTAAATAGAACTGGGGAGAAGTAGATAGCACAAGATGATACATCAGGAGGTAGAGACTTGACTGTCTGCGTCTGGTTTGGTCTCTAACAAATCGACTTACGTAATGATATTGCGTACTCACAGCGCCCCTGCATCCATACACCACAACTACACCTCAGCATGGCAGGATCAAATACTAGTTAATTTTTCATTATAAGCTAGTTATCGAAACCATCAGTATACCTTATATAAGTGCTGTATTCAGGCTATTTTGTTTATTGTGATTAATGACTGGCCTTTACATTCTTCCACAAGGATATGAACAGGCCTTGCTTCCCAAACGTATTATCATTTAGGGTAGACTTTAGTTTCAACCTCTCCCAGGTTTCATCAGCAACCCAAGCTAGACTCGAACTCGTTTAGTGCAGTATGTAGTCTCGATACATTAGCCATTACGCCACACTGCTACGAGTATCTTTAGGTCAGAAAGAAAAAGGGAATTTCATAAAAGCCTTGGCTTTTTTCTAATATTGAGACAGTTGATGATGCGAAATTGTATTTGGTATAGCAGTCGACCATACAACTTATTTTTCTCTTTTAAGCAGGTTCCCCACCACAGAAAATGATATAAGAAAGTCATTTAAATTTATTTCTTATCTATAATCCAAGGGTACTCGTGGCAGTGGGGCTCAATGGCTAGTATTTCTCAAATAAGTAACCGATTGCCTGCAATTTAGCTTGAAAAATTGTAGATTTTTAATGCATTTTTCTCGCATTTTAACACTTCGAATCCTTCTCAGGATGTTCATTATGGTTAGGCTAAGTTTTAATTGCAATTAACCCTAGATAACATTAACTTGCTGCTTGACTCCTTGAGACTGTAAAAAATATGCTTTTTTATCGGTTCATCATCACTCCAATAAGAGCCACTATACTTCCACAAACGAGATTGAGACTGGCTGAATGAGATGATACTTTTGAAACAATATTAGACTAATATTGACTTAATATTTGATTAAATGTGGCTTTACGACTTTCTAAAAAACTGAAAGATTTAATAAATTAGATGTTGAGTCGTATTTCTCTGCTGGTCACACCTAGGCGGTGTCAAAAGTGCAATTTAGCCTAAATTGTGAAGCACTGATATGAAGCAAAACAAGGCCGACCAGAAAATTGAACCTCATCTTTAATTCATCGAGAGCCTCTGAATAAAATTTAAAGCATCATTACAAATAACCAGCAATTTATTTAAAAGTCCATGATTGTGATGTTCTAGGCATGATTACGATTATATTTATTCTTTATTTAAACAAGCTTGTGAAACATAGCAGTCGCGAAAATGAGGCCAAACCAACTCTATTTGACCGAGCAATCTTACTCTTCATATCTCCAACCAGACTAATACCTTATAGTCGTATATTATTATCTAGTAGTTAATCGTAAATGTATTAATTGATTTAATATTTACAAGCAATTAATTTTATGATTATTACCTTAATGAACAACACTAGTATATTTTGTATTTTGTAGGCCATATTGTTCTCCAGTAGCCAAGTCTAATATTTGTAACTTCATTTTTACTACACTTGATTATTTTATTTTCACACTTTTTACCGTTAACTTGTAAGATTGGCAGAAGCGTCTTAATTTGGCCTCCTATCCTCTCTATTTTGTTAGGATGTTAACTGAGACTTTTTTTACTCAGATTTTTGCTTTCCAAAAGATTAAAAAATATCATTCTCAAGCATCTTACCGTTTTTCTTCAGCCTTGGTTTTGATTTTGGGTTGATTTTCGCCTATTTTTTCACTGTTAACTAGAGTATATATATATATATATATTACCGGTTTGCTTGATAGATTTTCTCATTAAGGGAATCTCTGCTAAAGACAATAAATTTGATTCAATTTTTATCTTAAAAATCCTTCATCTTTAGGATCGTTGGACATTGATAACTACTTTAGACTTACCTCGATACAGCTGTTCTGCCCTAGTTCGCAGGGATATGCTTTACGTTCTTGGTGGGCTAACTTCATTTGAAAACCTGGAACAGCAACGTGAGCGCCTTCGACAACAACAACAACAGCAACAGCAGCAACATAATCACCATCACCACCACCACCTGCCTATTCATTATGACCATGATCCCCAATATTCATTTCAGTTCCAGGATCGAAATCATCACCACCGACACAGGAGTCACCGCCAATGGATAGAAAATTATGCTTCCCCTGCCGAATTTGAAACAGGGCGTGTCGGCCCACAGTATCCTGATACAGTTGAGGCGCGCCATCACAGGCGGCATTTAGCTCGAGCCTTACCACCCCCGTCCCGTCCTCGCCGGCATCATCAGATTCAGCCGCTGTCTCAAACTCAAATACAGTATCGGCTTTTAGGACTTTCAGTTGCTTTAGACAATATGACAACTAACTCATCTTTTCCTACTGTTGCTCAATCCGCCGCCACAGTCTCAGTTTCAAACGTTCGAACGCGGCAAGCTCCAGCAGGGCAGTCGAGCGCAGATCCAACTCGAGTCCGTCGTCGCTGGGCAGATAGGCATTCACGCCGACGACGGCAGTGTCGTCGGCACGATATACATCGTCATCGCCAACATCAACAGCATCAATACTATCATCATAATCATATGCAGCCACACCACTCTCAGGCACTGTCACTTGGTCTTAGCCGATCTGGCGAACGTGTTCGTGCAGATACGGGGACTCCCCTTGGTTCAGCTTGTCGTTTGGATATCCTTCCGGCCGAATCACTTTGTCCAATCTCTCCTTCCATTCCACCCCCTATTCAGCTATCTAAGCAATTAGGATTCAATTGCTCGCTAATCCAGCCTCGTTCTCAGCACCATCATCGAATCACTCCTCATACCTCAGTTTCTCCGCCTCCTGCATTTCTTCCAACTCATCAATGCCTTTCTGTCGCTATGTCCTCACAGTCTGATAGGCCAGTAAATTATAACGCAGATTCTCTCACTGCTGGACTTGAAAAACCGACTACCGCTATTCCTAATGCAAGTGATAATGATGAAGAGGATTCCAAAAATCAAGGCGGCCCCAGTCTGGACTCATCTCGATCTGTCTCAGCTCTACATTCCGATCAACCGTATCCAGTGAATTGTGGCCGTAGACTTTCTTTATCCCCTACTGGAGCGGCAGCAGGCTCAATGCCTGAGGCCAATCCTCCCCCTTCTTTTGCCGATGAAGCCTCCGTCAATGGAGCATGCTCTTACAGAAACCTTGGCCTCGCTCTGGATGCCCATGCAGAAGTTGACAATCGAGTAAGCTGTCCTTTATTTCTTTATCACCATTCCTGGTAAATGTGATTTACTGTATCATATTTATTTGATTTTTTTATCTTTTACTCATTTAGTGAAGTTCTAAACTAATGCATAATCACTTTGCTTAGTTTAAAAGACATTGAAGTGATCCAACTCCATTTTGTTATGTTATACCTTAGAACCTGTTTTGTGACCGAGATGAAGGCTATAAGGCTGTAAAATGTAGTGTTGAAGTTTTGTAGAGGTCAGCTATGAAAGGCTAGTTGACGGTAATCTATATAAAGTCTGTGCATGCATTCGTGCTAAAGGTGGTTGGACAAGAGAATACCAGAGAATGAGAGCCTAGAACAGGATAGCCAACTCGCTTTCTGCAGTAGTGTGGGCCACACCAGTAAATGGAACACTGTGGGGGCCCAGTGTGTGTGTAGGTGGTGTCGATTCGAAATTGATCCTGCTTCAAATTTACAGTGTAGCAAATATAGTTCTGGTCTAACCTCATTCTCATAACTTTGTCTTGTTGAGTTGTCCTAGCTGGACGCATCTTGTCCGAGGTCCTCTGCTATACGATAGCCGTTCACAGTTTGCTCAGGGTAGACGGGTTGAATCAGGAAGAAGAACCATGGCGACAATGCCTAATATCTTTAAGCATAAGAAAGTAAGGCTATGTGAAATTCAATGGAAACGTCAGCTTTACTTATATCATTGTGGGAAAATTCTACTACCAGTCCTTTATCACCTTAAACGAAATAGAATGAATACATCTCATGGAGGAATTAGAGCCTGGGCCCTTTGCTCGGTGAGACAACAATGTACGTGCTCCTAAAGGCTTGATAAATATCGTCTGGACTAAAAAGTATACTAGGCCTGAAACCGAATTAAAGCAGACAACTAGGAAGATCAGAAAAGGATTAACATGCCCAGGAGGGAAATTCAGATAGAAGGCCCTAGTCGGATCAACAAATTGAGAGGAAGGTTTGCAAGGTAAACAGCAGGTGTGATTGTGCCATACTAAACTCGGCAAAAGGGCACCTCTTATGCCGGTTGGAATATAAACTAGTCAGAAGCTGTGGTAGGGGGGACAAGCTAAGACAATAGGTAGTAGTTAGACATTCCCAGGCAGAAAGAGGAGTTATAGCATAACCTTTCGACAGAAGGCTGATCAAGGGATTGACTTCACTTGCTCTTGACTCATTATAAATTGGTGCTGAGACTGACAAGACGCAGTAATGATACCGGTGAAAAGTCTGAGAATGTAGCAAGTCCGTGGTTCAAAGCCGGGAAGTCACATGCTGCCCCCATAGAATTTATTGGATTTGGAATTTAGCTTGAAGGTGCTAAAGGTGAGTTAGTTCTTCAGTAACTGTGGTATTAATAGCCATGTTTATTTTAAATTCCTTTTTGGCTAGATAATGTGTTGAAAGGAAATAAGTTTTGGCTATATTTTCTCTCATTACTGAACATAGA